TGCTGAGAAAGTAAATAGAGGCAAAAAGCAACACACAAAACGAGGTTTGAGGTTAATTAATTCCTCGAGTTATTTGGCAGTCGTTTGGCTTCATGCTTTTATAAAATATACTGAACTGAATTTAAACCAGGATGCAATCTGAGTGAAAACTGAGAAGAAAAAGTGTTATCTACCTATTATTATTATTACATACCAGAACACATATATCATGAAATGCAGGCACAACTACTGACTGTTTTCTCCCCTTGCTAAAAACCCTGCAAACTGGGTGACAGTGTAGCTTCTGATTTAAAGTAGATCATAGAACAGAGCCAGAGGGATTAACTGAGATTTCAGGCAATACTAATGCATACAATTAGGCTGTGTTTGATAATATAACAGAAATGCATTCTTTCTTGTTGAATGACTGCTCTGTTACAAGTCTTTGTTCTCCTTCTGTAAAGTTACACCTCTGAACAGCTTCTTCCCACCTTTCCCAGTGGCCCTTCAACAGCAGATGCACCTGGCATCTCAAGTAAAACTATTCTAATAAAAAAATGCAAAATCTGTTAATTTGATTGGATTTCTATGTTCTGTAACCCTCAAGAAGCAAATTTTTTTTCCACTTCTTTTAGATGAGTCCTCATGTTTTTAGCTTGTTCTGTCTGAGAATTTGGTAAAGTCCTCTCATGAATTAATAGAACTACACCCAATATTTTTCTGTCTGAGAACAAGTATGAACAAAGCATTCTTTGGCTAAAATAAACTGCTGACAACCATGACATGCATAATGTTACATGGGTCAGAGCAAAATCTATGCAATCCATGTGGTTATTTTCTGATTACCTTAAGTTGGATGGAATTATGTGGAATAGAAAAGTACTCATATGTATTTATACTTTTTGCATATTTGGGTAGAGGTGAACACACTAGTGTTTCATTGTTTAAATAACTATGTTTAGACTATACATACTTTTCTTGTTATTAGATCTTTAAGTTGTAGCATCAGAAGGATCAGAAATGTGATGTAATTTCAGTATAAAAAGCAAAATGTTTTCCTTATGTAAAAAATAAGGTTATCTCCTTTTGTACATCATTGTACAAGAATGTTAGATGTGCCAGAGTGCTTCTTAGAAGCAGTTCTCAGAAGGAGCGTGAAGATGGTAATACATGAAACAGGAACTCCTTCTGCAGAGGGAAAATCAGGTTTGGAGTCTTTTGTGTGGGATATGTTCATTGAGCAACAGAATATCTCGGAGGGTTAATTTTTAAATTTTTTTCAACTAGGGTCAGTGAGACTCCAGGGTGGCAAGAATGAGTTTGAAGGTACAGTGGAAGTTTATTTGAATGGAATCTGGGGAACAATCTGTGGGAGCCATTGGGACAATAATGATGCAACAGTTGTATGTCGACAGCTTGCACTTGGGTAAGTTTCAGTCTGAGTAAAGCTCAGTCAACTTATTTTAATGATGTTTCAGTATAAAGGACAATCTATTATGCAAATCCTGAGGGCTTTTTGTGTTTGATGATTGTTTTTTTGAAAGCTGTTGAATGCTGAAGTTGTTCTTCCCAGAATCCTTCACTTCCTTCAATTGTGCTGTACTTCAAAGAGGTTGCTGTGAGAATCAGTATTTCATTAGAAAGCTGGAAAGGAGCAGACCAGGGTAGATGCTTTCCTTTCAAAGTGAAAAGTGTGAACAGGTCAGAAAAACTTAGGGCAAATCCAAACTGCTTTATTAGACATCTGAGAGGTGTCCACAAGGGCAGAAATATGAAGTCTGATCCTGAACGCTCACACATATGTGTCAATTAAGAATAGCTCCAGTGAGGTTACCGAATCTATAAAACCGTATATGTGGCCAGAATTAGACTCTATGTAGGCTCCTAATCACAGGAAAATTCCTGGTTCTCAGGAGCCTGGGGTTACCCTGGTAATCATCCATTCTATCCTGCTAAAAAGCATCTGGGACTCATCCTAGGTTTTTGGAAAATGTGGTATTTTTGTTGTGCAAATGTTTTACTTTCAGAGTTGCACAGTGGTAACAAAAGTGCAAACTAGTCAGGTTTTGCAGCTTTGTATTTTCATGGAAACATTTTCCAGTTACAGTATTATTTGACATGTTGAAAGTCCTTGAGTAGTCCTCATTGCCACTACTTCACGCTGCTGTCAGAACGGACTCAATCAACAGGGCCCTTTAACATACTTTGGTCATTAAACTCCAGGTAGAGCCTGTAGTGGTACTGCAGTTGCGGTAGTAAAATAAAACTGTGGTGAGGAAGATAATGCCCATGCCAAAAGGGAGGTTTTAGAAGCTGAAATTGTATTTTATTCTTAAATATTAATGCTGTTCAAGTTAGCAACCAAATTACTTGACTGTCCTCCATTAGCACCGCATTCAGTTTGCACATTCTCAATAAGCCACAAAGTATGGCTGGCTTTATTGCCTTCCTAACATTTCTTTCAGTCACACACCAAAGTAGTGACTGTGTTTGCTATGAGAAGTTAAGGGGCTTTTAGAGCATACTTGCACTGTGACATTCCCAATAATTATTCTGATTTTTAAGATGGCTAGCCAGAACAAAATCTAAGCTGTTTTATAATGTTCATTACTAATCTGGACACACCATGCCAACTTACAAAAATATAAGGATTAGATGAGATAAAAGTTTAGCCATCTGGAGGCTGTGATTTTGCTTATGCCTTCAGCTGTCTACGTGCAATGTCTCCTTTCCTCATTTTCATGTAAGTTCTTTTTGCCTTCCATACCCTAAACATTTCAGTTGAACAAGACTGCTATTAGCGAAAGTAGTTCAGTGATGTGGGTGAATGGTTTGGTCTTTTCAACTGAAATGGCTTAGATCTGAATCCAGACCAAAAAGCCCCAAGCGAACAGCAGCAGAAAACAGCAGAAATGTAGATCTATATACCACTGGGTGAACTCACTTGGTATTATTGGTGCTTTTCAGGTGCTTCCATCTGTCTGCTCCTTTGCTTTTACACTATTTGGGCTTTGATTTTCATTTAATTTTGTCGGGCAAAGAAAAAGAAGAAATCACTAATAATAATTGTTAACAATAATAATAGTCACTAATCGTTAGTGTAGATTCAATACGGGAAGGAAGCTGTTTATAAATATTCCGGATGGATGGGAATGGCTAAGTAGAGAATAGTGGACACGGGGCTGACCTAGTGGAGTCTGAGGTGTTTCACTGCCCCATGGTCACACCCATATTTGATGTCATGTATGGGCAGAGCAGAGCACTAGTACATTTTAATGGAGGCAAGGAGAGGAAAATGGTGACATGCCCATTAGCATTACCTCTCCTGGAAGTGTAACTGCAGTGGGATGGCACCCCAGGTACACCTATAGACTGTGGACTCTGTTAATTTCTGTAGTTAAGAAAAGGAAGAACAGGAATGGAGCCATCCCTGCAGCAACACAGGCCATTGTACTAAAATATTCCACAACAAAATGGTGAGAACTGGGTCACATCTGTTACTTTTCTTTGTGCAGAAGACAATGCTGAACTGTATGAAAAAATAATGAATTTACACTGCTGAAGAAAGACCTTTCTTTTCTACTCCAAGATTTATAGATGAGAAAATGTTCCACTTGCCCTCCTCCCACTCTAATGTCCTATCCTGATTATTCTTCTTACAGTGAAAAAGGTACAGCAAAACACATACCATTTTCTGGACTGGGCCTTGTTCCTGTTTACTGGAGTGAAGTGCGTTGTCGTGGTGATGAAGAAAATATACTGTTATGTGAAAAAGACATCTGGCAGGATGGAACATGTCCTCAAAAAATGGCAGCTGCTGTCACATGTAGCTCTTCCCTGGGTAAAAAAAGAAATATGTATGGTTTGGTTAGCCCCTTACCTTATTTAAATACAAGTAGTAATATTTATTCCTTATTAAATTAGAAAATAATATTAAGACTTCTTGGAGCAGGAAGTTAAACAGAATGAATTATCACATCATTGACTGTTTCAAATCCCTCTATGCTGTGCAAGCAGCAACTAGCTGAACCACTTTTTTACCTTTCCATAATCAACAAGAAAGTTTTTGCTTTGAGATGTAGGTTGTATGGAAGGGTGAAGCAACAAGAATCTCCAGCTGTAAAAGTAGGATTGTTTCTCCTCACTTTTTTGTTTTTTTAAACATTTTTTTCATTTATTTGTGTGTATGTATGTATTTATTTACTCAGAGGTTGTCTTTGGTAGCTGCCTGTGCTGCATGTCAATTTGTTAGCTCTTCCTGAACAGTATGGAGGAGCAGCCATTTCACAAGCAGGCTATACCTTCTAAAGTTTTGCCTAAAGAAACTGAAAACTACAAATGGGCAAATTATGCTTTTAGATCATAATGTTTTCCTTCTATTTATGGACATTTTCACCAGAAAAATTTGTTTTGCTTAGATAAATTTATTAAAGGACTGTTGTCTGTTTCAATAATGCTGAAAGGAAGTTTATCAGTAATTTAGAGTCTAGGATACCCGAAATTAATTAAATTGATCCCGAGTTTCAACAGGCTAGATGAAGTTTTCACATTTTGCAGGTTCTACTGACACTGTTTTTTTTTAAATGATTACCAAAACCCAGATTTTATATCAGTGAAATAGTAAGATGAAACTGGAGAAATGCCCTCAATTTTCTTTTTTTAAGCCAAGAAATAGATGAAGTAGTAGCACTAGTTGGTTGGAAGGTCTACGTAAAAACTAATTGCATTTTAAATAATTCAGCTGTTAGATATGGGGAAACTTTAAAATAACCTTTTTAAATGCTAGAGCAATTATTTTTTTAACATGGTTTAAAGCTGTTTCCATTATTATAGCTTTGTGCAAAAGTGATGCTTTCAAGATGATTTCTTGCTAGACCAGAAAAGGGCTAATGATTTGAAAAAATTAAAAATCAAACCATATCTCAGAAACAGGAAGGGAACAATACCTACACAGTTCGAGACTCCACAGTCAATGAGATTTCACTGCTTTGAGTGGAATTACTAAAGGAATGACAAAACATGAGGATGATTTCCTACTTTTGTGGCAATGAAAGAATTTTTGCCTCTTAATTCAGATTTTATCGTCTGGGACCAAGCCTATACAGAGCAAATTTTGCTCTTACAGGTAGAAATGCAGCTGTACCAACTGATTGTAATATTTGGCCTTACAGCCCTAAGTATCCGTGAATGTTTTAACACTTAAATAACTCAAGATCAGTATCGTCACTGGTCTGTGGAATATTCTTCAGTTACTGAGCGTGGAGCTTAGGGGAACTCATTTCTAAGAAGTTTCGTTTCAGGTTTACCATCAAACTAGGAAAAAATGAAGTGTGGTTCTTGAGTGATATCAGAGAAACCATTAGGCCATCTTTTTTATTTACTATCAGGATAACATTTTGGGAAAAAAATGACCTTTTCCTGTATTCTGTTTGATCACAGCCCCCGTTTTTACTCCGATCCGTCTGGCTGGTGGCAACAATGCTCACGAAGGAAGAGTAGAAGTCTACCATGCTGGCCAGTGGGGAACTGTCTGTGATGATCAGTGGGATGATGCAGATGCTGAAGTTGTCTGTCGGCAGCTTGGCCTTGGGTTTGTTTTAATATGTATTTTCTACTCGTGTAGCAAAGCAGGAGAGTTAAGTCAGATACACAGCTTGGAGCTGTTGAAAGATGCTCCTTTAAAATCACACTAATACTCTGAAGCAGCTATTAAGTTTATTTATAGAAGGTTCAGGTACAGCACCATTACTTTCAATTCCTTAGAGCTTTGATATATAGGATCCAGTTTTCAGTGTCATACGATAGGGGCAATTTTGTCTGTAGGACAGACAAAGGATATCTCTCAGATTAAGTGCTGGCTTTTTAGTGAAAGCTCACTACAATTTCAGTAAAGTTTCAACCAAAAACCGTAGGTGAAGAATAGGAAGTTGCTTTGACTATTAAAATGTTTACAGTTTTACTGAGGAGTCTTACCAGCTTCCTTGCTTTGATGGAAGAGTGCTGCTTTGTCAGAAAGGATATGTTTTTTGGCATGCCTGTGAGAATCTCAAGATTTAAGTCACGAGTTTCTGAAGATTCTCAATTTGCATATAGACAGTTAAGCTCGTCAGCGACTCTGTGAGAACTAAGTGTGGTCCATAATATAGTCGCAGCAGCAGAGCAGGATTTTCTTGCTCCTATTCTGAACAGCCAAGGGGGAATTTTGATACCATACAGAAGGTAAGTATTCAGTATTTGGGGAAAGATGCTGCAGCAGCGAGAGGCAAAGAGGAGAACTGCTGGATCAGAGAGGAGGGAGATGGGGACAACTGGGATGAAAGGCCAGATGGGTTGATGAGGGAAAGAACTAGGAGCAAGATGCAGCAGAAACCCAAGGAGGAGAAGGGGATTATGTCCAAGAGACTGAATGAGAACTAAGCAGGTCAGTGCAGAGGAGACTGGAGCAGAGCTCACCTGTTCAACCTTGGTGAGATCATGATGAATTAAAAGAAGTGGCACTGAAGACAGCAAGCTTTGTGGCATTAATGTGTGGCCTCCAGAGTGTACTTGTTTAGTAATGTGAAACTGAGGCCTTAGACTGATGGTGCCACCCAGATTAGCTCAAAAGGATAAGAACTGTGCAGTCCCTGAAAAGCTTCTATATTTCCTGGTGAGCCGTGTGGGACTCAACATGCTCCTCTGACATGAGATTTTCATTTTTTCCCCAGTTTATTTTATGCTATATTTCTATATTGCTATAAATTTTGAATTTAGAATACTTAACAATAAGTCTGCCTTCTTGCAGGCGTTTCCTGCTTTTGAATTGGGCCGCTATTAATAAGTTTGGGGAGTTACTAATCTATGCTTTACATTTCTGTATACTATTGACAGTGCTATTGATAGTGCTAAGTCTTTTTGAAATATGTCTATAGAGATTTACAGAATTTCTTAAGTAATCAAGATGTCTTTAAAAACGTGCTTATTACTGTGAAGTGAAATTCTATCAACAGTGGCAGTAGACCTGCTACCAAATAATAAAAATAATCTAAATTTGCATACTGTTAATCGATCTGGAAATGTGCCACAAATAGTAAAAGTAAAGTTGCTCAGTAAGTTGCTTCTCACACCATTTGAGCTTTTATGTAGCATTCCTAGAAAACTTCAGAATATTAATTACAAATAATAGGTGAAAAACAATAATTTATTTTATTATTTGCTTTCATAAATACTTTTTACTTAATACAAATTGCCCTTGTTATAGTAATGGGATGTCATCTCTGCATGATTTGAACATCAGAGAATCTTACTATATTATGGTATATTTTGTCTTCAACACTCAGAGTAGTCAAGCATTATCTTTTTGATTTCAGCTAGCTTTTTAATTAATAAGTTTTTTTCCCTAACATTTCCTGTACATTTTTACCAGTATCAGAATTAAAATACAAGAAATAGAAGCTACGTATGAGAATTTTCTTTTTTTGTGTGTGTGTAAAGTCTATCTATATGCAAATACTACTCAATAAACTTAAGATAATTTATCTTACACATAACTGTATTACCTACCCTTAAAGTATCCTATCGATTATATTTTCTCAGTTTATTCTATAAAATTTCAACCAGTTCAAAAAGCAGCTCTTTATGAAATGTAAGAGATGGAGGACCTCACATGAATTAATGCTACATATAAAAATGCATGGTTACTTCAACTAAATGAAAGACTAGGAAGAGCAGTCAGGAAATGTTTGCAAATCTCAGGAAAACATAACATTTGCCATCTATTAAAATTCTTCTTGGTGTTGCTAAAGGAAAAGTGTCAGAGCAAGATTATTTACCTTTTTGTGTGTGTGCTTTTATTTACTGAGCACTACTATCTACTCAGTGTCTACCATGAATTTCCACATCCTTCCTTTTTACAGAGCTTTTCCCTGATCATACCTTAATTTTTATAAGCCTCTTACTGTTGTTATTTTTCCCATATCCCTTTACTGTTTATCAAGAATTTGTATTATTGCTAATTGTAAAGTTAGTATTGTTTTCCTTTAAAAAAGAGAGAGAACAGAGATTGTTATATATTTATACAAAACACTAGAAATTAAATCCACATCTATCTAAATCCATACTTGGATGAATGAGTCAGTGCCTTGAAAACATGAAAACATATTGCAACTCACATTAAAAAAAAAAGGCAAATGAACAAATTTTTTAGTGGAAAAAAACCAAACTATGAGAAACATATGAAGAACATGGTATCTTAAATAGAAATGGAAAGATCCTGATAGATCATCAAGTGTTAAAAACTGCATAATTTCTGTAACATTGAAACAATGGAACATTTTCAATTTATATAGGTTTTTGTCCTAAAAATCCTCTATGCTGACCTGAGTATAACACACAAGGCTAGTCATTGGTCGGATTTCTGTTGTTATTTCTCCCTCTGACTGACTGGTGGTATGACATTGTCAAGTCACTTAAAATCTCTTTGCTGTGATTTTGACATAACTAAATGGGGAACAACCATTTTTATCTGCCTTATCTGGGTATTCGAGATTTATTTACTGTACTTTGAGGACAACAGATGAAGGTCACTGTAGAAATATATATTGGATTATTTTTGCTACATATAAACATGAAATGAAAATTAAAATCAGAATCCTCATATCCAAGCTGTACATCCATGATCTCTTCTAGGAAAGTTATGCTTAAAAATCAAAAAAGACAGAAAAGGAAAATCTCATAGATACAAAACAATAGAGAACGATGCTCTAAATATGTTGAACACACGGCAGTGTGGAAATGGTATGTTTACATCTCTCCACAGCTTCAGCTGAGACTGCAGCTCTTGACTGGGTGTTTTCCACATCTCCACAGGGGTGTTGCCAAGGCGTGGAGCCAGGCTTACTTTGGAGAAGGCTCAGGCCCTGTGCTGCTGGATGAAGTGCAGTGCACAGGAAATGAACTATCAATAGAACAGTGTCCAAAGAGCTCCTGGCGAGAACACAACTGTGGCCACAAAGAAGATGCTGGTGTTTCCTGCACACCTCTCACAGGTACTTCAATTACCAATAATCACACAGGAAACCGATGACAAACACAGAGTTCACAGCTCTGGAAAAAGAAATTTTCAAGTTTGCAGATGCACAAAAGCCTACAGTGATAAAGCGTTCTGGCAGTTTCAAAATGAACCAGCTGTTAGTTATGGAAATTTTACAGGTACAAAAAAAAAATAAATCTCATTATTCAACACAAAGCATGGTTCCTAGGAACATGCTAACTACCACTTACTGTGTGGAGCAGACAGCTGTGTGCCACATCTATCAGTGGCAGTACGCACTGCAGCATAAAAGCAGTGGGAAATAACAGCACGAAGCTAACATGTCTATACAGTGAAATCACATAATCAGAGCCCATTCCTGTGGCCTTGGCATCTAATAAGAGCTTGGGGGGATCAGTATCTTGAGCCATTTCTCATGTACTTAAGCCACTGCATTATGCAGCACTTCACAGCTGACTGTGTGTATGATGGTGTTTCTTTCATCCCCTCATTAAATGACACTTAGTGATCAGCACTAGATTTAGCAGTTTAATATCTGATCAGATGCAGTAAAGGCAATGTTATGAATTTTGTTTTAGAAAAATAGTTGGACCTAAGAAAAACTGATTCTTGTTTTTGTTTTTCCTTACTTGTTGATGATGCAGATGGTGCATTAAGACTAACAAATGGGAAAGGCAGTCATGAGGGACGCCTGGAGGTCTATTACACTGGGCAGTGGGGCACAGTCTGCGATGATGGGTGGACAGAGCTGAATACAAAGGTGGTTTGCCGGCAGCTGGGATTTAAGTAAGATTGCTTGACATTAGATATCTGACTCTGACTTGACAATGATGACAAACATTTACATGAACCCTACCTTATTTAAGGGACTTGTTTTTTTAATATGAGCTGAGTGCTTCATAGAAACTACTGAGTTAACTACTGGACCTATCCATTAAAGCCTGCTCCCTTCAGTCTCAAAGAGATGTCTATGGCCTCAGCTTAGGCAGAAGAAAAAGCTTCAGATGAGGTTGTGATTCAGGAGCCTTAAATCACCGAGTTCCTTCCAATTATCTTTTTTGGCTAACTGAAATGAATGTATATGCTATAGAGCAAAACTGATCTGTTGTATTCTATGTTGCCTATAAAAATATGATTCTTCAAAACGTTTGCTTGTTAGACAGTCATTAAAAATCACAGACATTTTCAAGGTATGAGTCCCTCTGGATCTAGCTCAGAAAAATCTACAGTCTGGCCCTGGAACACTGTTACATATTGAAAATTGTATTTTAGAAAAAGTCCAATTTGATTTTCCTGCATTCACTCTTCACTACTTTTCCTGTTGACTGTGGCTACGAAGATACACTCTCGCTAGGTGACTGCTGTCTTGCCCTCAGACTGTAACAGCTCACATTCAAAAAATAATTTTATCTCATTTTTCCTCAAACTATGTTGTTTAAATGTATATATAATACTGAAAACACTCTTTAAATCCTAGAGATGGCGAGACAGCCATATGCTTGGGTGAACAAAAGCCTTAATCAAAGGTATTACAGTTCTTGAGATTGTATTAATGTAACAGTAATTCCTTAAAAAAAATGTTACCAAAGCAGCAACATATGGTGCTCTGATTTAATTTAATGCCAACTGAACCTGCTCTGTCGTAATTAGCACCGTTTACTGTTACTAGTTGAGAAACGTTTATTTCTTCAGAAATAATTTATTTCCTTTCTTAGTGCTTATCACGTGCCCTCTGATCACTGCGGTCCAGAAACATTATACATACATGTGTCATGCAGGTATGGGAAAAGCCTACCTGAGAGCTTCTCAGAAGGAAGCTCTGGGCCCATCTGGTTGGATGATGTCAGCTGCTCAGGGAAGGAGACAAACCTTCTGCAGTGCTCAAGGGGAGAGTGGGGAAAGCATGACTGCAACCACCAGGAGGATGTCAGCCTTGTTTGCCATCCAGATAACGACAGCCATAAACACTCACTTGGTAAGGCATCTCTTTGGTGAAGTCACAGCACGAGTATCGCGGTAGGTGCAGATCTGAGCAAAGTGTACTACACTTAAGGATGCTCAAAATCTTAGTATTTGGCAGATAGGTGCAAAGAAGGAACAGGAAGGCAAAAATGCTCAATTTTTTCCTGAAGATCACAGGAAGTAATCAAGCTTTGTTTAAAGGAAAATAAACAGCCAGAACATTAAAAGTCAACACAAATTTGTAAGGTAATAAAGTCAGCTCCAGGTATCCTGCATTTCATTCAGCTCTCTCCAAGTCATAAGTAGCTCTCTCATGCTATCAAAAGGTGGAGATGTACCCTAGCACTGAGGAATACAAATCAGTAGTGTATCCTCCTATGATTTTACATTCAGACAATGATAAAAAGAAAAGAGATGTGGAGAAAGAGAGGAAGTTCAGAGATAGAAAGGAGTGCTGAGAAGCATGGAATTATTTCTCTATTACTATTGCCTAGCCTTTATATTGTGCCTGGGTGAACAGGCCACATTTTCTGACCAGCATGGTATGATAGTACAAACACAGAACAAAACGTCAGTCCCAGTGTCAAAAAGCCTATGAGCTTTTATGGGAAAAAAACCCAAACAAACAGACAAAAAAAACAGGTAAGGAAAAAAAAAAAGAGAGAAATATCCTGATTACACAGTGACATTGTAGAATGAAATATACACAAAAGAATTCCAGAGTTTCCTAAATCCACATGGAGATAATTAAATGAGAATTCTAGCTATCCATTATACACAGTAAAAATTACAGGGGAACAATGAGTTGCTCAGCAATGCTGAAAAGCAGCTTCATTTTTAAAATTTGCTACATACAAAGTTTGTAGCTTGTCAGTGGGTGGCCTTTTACAAAACTGTCGCTGATACTCTTCACTTTACCCAAGTATATTTTAGTCAAATTTGAAATCAGAATTGTAACTAGTCGAGTTAAATTCACAGCTTCTGCTGAAATGTGACAGGATTTGTATGCCTGGGTGCCTGAAGTTCTCTAGCAATTACAGATTGAAGGTCTATTCTGTAAACTAAGACATGGATTTACTGCACGACGCTGCTACCTGTTGTAACAACAATCAGCACTTCCACATGTACTTTTCCGGTCTCTCTCTCTTTATAGTCTTTATAGCCTTCTGACCTCTCACAATCCAATGAATGTTTTATGATGCAGTAGAGTTCCATTATGTGTGGATGATGTCAAATCATATTTGGTAGAAAGAATTTTTTCAGCCCCAAAATAACAGGAATTCAAATCATGACTGCTGTCCTTACAGATGCAAACCATTTGTGCTGCTTTGCTCAAATTCCTATAAAATATAATCTTAGCTGAAGGATGTCTGGTTCAGTTAAATGCATCCATATGGTAACATTCTCCATCCCCCATTACCAGAAAGTTATATTAATTTTGTGCTCATAATTTATTTTTTTTTTAAAACACAAGAAGATGAGGTAACAATAAAATAGCTATACTGTATCATTAATATCCCATGCCTCTAGCTGGGTAGTATAAGTTTCACCTAAATCATGTTCTTCCAGAATAACACTTCACGTCAACAAGAAAATGCAGACAGTGTATCTGACATTTCCTGCGACACTTCCGATTGGAAAGTGGACAAAATCTCTATTGTTACCATTTACTTCCTAGCATTTAATTTTTTTTTCTCCCTGTAAGTATGTATTCAGTGAAAAAATACAAGAAATTCATAGATGATATGACTTAAGGAAATACAGACATTAAAGAACACTAAAACTGAGCAAGGTTACATGGCAATAACTACAACGGTTGTTTAGTATGTAAGGTCGTGACAATGAAGCTAAACAGAAAGCTGGTGAAGTTATTTCATATAACTGTCCAGACAGTATGAATGTCTATACAGCAATATGCTTTAAGTGACATTTGAAGCAAACAAAGCTTGAAAAAAGTTCTGTTTTCAAATGTTTCTTAGCTTCTAATTCATGAATTAAGCCAGATTTAACTAGCTCTGATCCAGAGTAAGGTTTGGTAACAAAATTAATAAATTAAACTGAACTAAGTATCAAGTGCAAATGTCTCAAAATAATGCTTTAAAAGCATAATGAAGTAATTTCTCATCCTTACAGATTTAGAAAAAATTAGGAACAGGTTAGAAGGATGAAGAACAGTTTTTCCTATTACTCGTAAAAGAAACTCTCATTAGCATATTAAGGACTATAAAATAAGACATACTGGATTTAGAAGGTGATTCTCACTTAAATGTTATAAAGAGGAATTCCTAACTGTTTTAAGGCTACTTGGATTGCTTGCATGCTGTAAAGGAGTTTTAATTTTAATATAAGTCAGAATCAACTATGTACTTTGCCTAATGAGTCAATATTTAAGTACAGGCCATACACTGAACATACAATGATTAATTAAGTCTGACTACTCCACATAAGTCAGATTTCGTATTATGAGTATATCTGAACAAGCAATCAGTTTAAGTTGCTGGGAAAATAATCACACATTACTCTCGAGTAGCATGCTGTAGAATATTATACCGCCATGCAGAAATGCTACAGGACGGTACGCGCAGTGGTGAGTGATAATTGAACTTTAACACAGTGCTGCACTTTTTTTTCTGAGATAGTGGTTAAGAGGAGTGGTAGCAACCAGTTTGAGAATGGATGTATGAATTGAGATATAGTTAAATTCACCCAATAAGTTTCTGCAAGGAAATTGTGTCCAGCTTGTATGGGTATCCTATCAAAGCTATCACAGGTGTTCTTTGACTTTATTGGGGAGAATTATTCTTTGTCCATTTTGGTCAAATTCTGAGCTATGCCACATATTTTTATGAAATGAAGGAGCCAGATGAACTCTGAAGTTCAAAACACAGTAGTATGTCATATTAGTTTTGTAACTTGTACAAGCTGCTTCCTTTTGCCAGCCAGGAAAAATACGACGTAATAATAATAAATAATAGTTTAACAGCTAATATCAGGCTTGCTGAACATAAGCATCAGTTGACCCTATATACTGAATGTGATGAAAATGCCTTAAAGTGCTAGTTCTTGCTTCTGTTGTGAATTGACAGCAGTAATTTATTCCCAGGTCCTCCCATCAGGCTGATGGATGGTGAGAATAAGAAGGAAGGACGTGTAGAGATTTTTATCAATGGCCAGTGGGGCACAATTTGTGATGATGGATGGTCTGATAAGGATGCAGCTGTAGTGTGTCGACAGCTTGGCTACAAGTAAGAAAACTCATTAAGCTGTTTCTCAAGTTATCTGTTTGCTGAATCTAAAAATGTTACGTTTCTGCAACCAAATATCTCAAACATGTCTGATAACATAAAAAATGCCTTTTAAAACTTGCCTGTTTGGCATTCTTTTAGAAAAGTGTATTTATACTATTTGTATAAGAGGTAGTAAGCTATGTCTTCAAAAGGAGTATTCATTAACCAGCCTAATTGGGAAAAGGAATTTTAATATTCAAAGGCATATCACAGTCTGACTGCTAATTGAAAGGCGAGTTAATGCTAGTTACTAAATATTTTTTTTAGAAGTTAAACATTTCAAATATTAAGCTATTGACTAAATATTGTATTTTATTTGTCACAGTGGTACATGTCTGTATGATATAAACGCAATACATCCATTTTTAAATTTTATTTGTTTTAAACTTGGTTGCAGTAATGTAACTGAGAAGAGCGTTTGATTTTGTGTATCTGCTCTGTGCGTTTTTGCCACTCAAACTGTTCTTAATTTACTTCTTTCATCTGTTTTCAGATTTCTAAACATTTTTTAAAAGTTAAAGTGAAATTTCTAGTGTGGAAAACATTACGGCAACTAATATTAACATCTTACTAATATTAACAGAATGGCACAGATTACATATTCAGTGACCTATGTAGACTTATTTCTGATTTTGTATGAGAGCTCTGTTTCACCATACTTAAGTGACTATTTTCATTCATGTAGCAATTTTTATGTTGAGTGATCTTTAGTAAACACAGAAAAAATTAAGGTACCTAAGTTCTAGTGCTTCAGTGGTTTGATTTACTGCTACACTTAGAAAAACCTTGGGGAATTTGAAATAACTTTTTCATTACATGAGCAAAGAAGACAGAAATTGAGAACCTAGACTTAGTTTATCATATTTTTCTGACATTTTCTGGAATTTAGCTAAAATTCTGGGGTAATGGTTGTACTGTTTTAAAGAGTTCTTAATCTGTTTTCACTGAAGGTATAATTCTGCATATTGTTAATATTGTAAACCTCAAAGATGGCTTTGAAATCCTTATAGGTTCTAACAGAACTGTTAAAATTTTTAATGAAATATAGCAACAGGTCAATGCCCACTGTCACCAGGTGTGAATATGATGCCCGCAGATTCAGATGTAGGCACACCAGCTACTGAATTACAAATGCCATGTTTTGGTTTTTTTTCCCCCTTCATTTACTGCTCTGGCTTGACTTGATGTAGCTTGGAGATTTGATACAACTTTTATACAAAAGATATGACTTCAGCCTGCATAACAGTAATTTGAATAAGCTTCATTTAATATAGGAATAGGCCTGACAGGACAAGAACACCCTCTAATTAAAACCACCACAACGTATACGTGTCACTTTTGAATTAAGTCGCTTAATCAGGCTTGCAGCACTTAGAAGCAATTTTGTTCAGGATACCTAAGAGCAGTAAGGATATAACAACCACAGGGCAGACATAGAAATAGTATAACTAATGTGAGCTGAAAAATGTCCAGAACACAAGCAAAATACATCAGGAAATGAGGGAATGTCTTCTCTGAGTGTATCTGCAAAGAAATCTGATCTTAAGAAACACAAATCATGTTATTTGCTTGCTGTATCTGTCAATGTTAAGTTTGTGCAACGGAATATTATCACATTACATCTGAACACGTAGCTTCTGCCTTTTAAAAATTATCTGATATTTGTTTAGTAAAGCACACTTAAAAGTAGACTAATGTTTCAAAACTAGAAAACTCACTTGTGTTATCTCCCACTGAATCATCAGTCTGTTTCATCCACAGCCTCTCTGGCCTTTTACAAGTCTCCCTCAGGTGATCAAACTCCACCACTTACCCCCACCTTCTGTTTTTTATTCTCTGCAAGGACAGACAGTTGGCAGAATTCTGCATTTGCGTCATGTCAGAATGGGGAGGGGAGAATTACAGGATACAACAGAACACATGTTTCCTGAAGTATTAGAGATAGACGCATTTTAGAAATCTAAAATTAGGTTCCAGAATTGGGAGAGCTGGGCGGAAATGCTGGATGTTGGTGACCCTGTGTCTAGACAGTTGCATTCCACAAACCCGACTATGCCGCTACATGCACTGAGGAGCTGGCGTTGCTTCTGGGCCTAGAAGATCAGTCACAGATCTTTTTGCTGAAGTTCAAATTATATTCAGTGGTGACATCATTGTTCCAAAGCAAGACTGGAATTTCTGGGTTCATGCACCTGAACTTGGGGGCTGATGAATATTGTTTCTTTAGAAAATAAACACTTTACCACCTTCTGTGAGGAATTCAAAAAGCACCTAATACTGAAGCAGACATCAGTTCTCATTAAGACTGATCATAGAACTAAACAGTATCATCCAACTCCCTTTACAGTGCTATGTTTAATTCTCAAGTCTTTCGTACTGGTGAATTGCATTCCTCGGGGAAGGGGTGGGGGTGGGAGA